CATCAGCTGGAGAGGGGTTGGATCAGACTCAGGACAACACAGAAATGCAAACACTGCAGTTGTGGCTCTCAGAGGAGTTCTTCACTATGGCAGCTGAATAAACCCTGGCTGGGTTGGTCCTGGTTTGGATCCTGCCAAACAAGCCCTGTGCTAAAGGGTGGCCATGGGCAGTAGATGCAGGTCAGGACATCTCTTCAGAAACACCATCCCTGTGCTGTATAGGTGCTGCATTGTGCTCTGTGCAAAGCTCCTGCTCAGCAGAATTAGTGTCTTCAGTATTTAATTTCATTAGGAAATCAAAGGCCTTTATTTCCTAGTTACTGAACAGGGTGCTCCCTAGGATATGCACTGGTCTCCCTTGAGACCCAAGGCAAAGTTGCTGTAGCTCCATCCATCGTTATCCAATCGCTAAAATAGCCAGAAAGTGCTATCAGTGTTCTACTGCAAATGTGCCCCCTTGCCATTCACAACCTGCAATATTAGTTCTGCAAAAGTTCCTTTTTATTTACAGCCCTCTAAGTACATTTCCAGAGCTAGATGATACAGTCTTTGTCAGCAATACAAGCAATAAAACATTACTGTATAGCTGGTACCTCTGGAGCTGGAATACAACCCAATCAAACTGACATAACTGATAAAATTCAGTGCTGCAATTCTTGCAAAGACTGAAATGCTTGAGTACAGAATGCTCTGGAAATCAGTATGGTTTTGCCATAAAAAACCTCTGTGTCAGTGCCAGGGAATAGTGTCCTTTGTTGCACTGATTTAGTGCTCCATGCCAACTCCATTCTCATTAAGAACTGCTCACCAGGGACAACTCAAAAGTGTTTTGCTGCTTTTAAGTAAGAAATCGAAATTAATGTGAGCTTGAAGTGGAGGCATATGCTTTCTTTTGCTACCAGAAATCCTTCTGTCCTTTGCATCAATAAAATCCATTGATTCTAAATTTGCTAATCCTATTGGAAATGGTTTTCTCGACTCTCCCTGAGTCTGGTAAATGGGTATGGAAGGTGAGAGCTTCAGCAGGTGCAGGGTGAGATGGGAGAGGCAGAGCTCTGAAGTGCAGAATGTTGGGTCTTCTTAATTTGGTAGAAACAATCCAGGGCTGCATTATAAATGTCCCTTCACCCCTAAGGATGCTTTGTCTATCACTCTTTTCTTGAAAAACTAACTTTACATAAGGTAGCAAAGTACTTCTTGCTGTGCAGAGGAAGATAAAGTTTTGCTCTCATGTTACCCCTGCACATTTGAGAACAGAAGCAAATATTTACCCTCTGTATCTGTGGTGATGTGGTACACAGAAAACCTGCAACAGAATTTCACTGACTTGCAGTCTATTGAGCCTGGAAACTCATTCACTACTAAGCTTTTAACTATTTGGGGTGTTTTGTCCTCCCTTCTGCCCCTGAGGAGCAATTTAAATTTAAATGAAAGAAGATTTACAAGGTTTCAAGATAACATAGTATATGTAAAAGTGTAAGTGTCAAATATCACCAGCCATGATGGGAAGGATGATAAAGCCTGTGCTCTGTGCCATGCAAAATGTAATGTTTGGAACTGAAAGTTGCAGCCAAACTCCCTCCCCAGCACATTCCCTACTGCTCCCTGCTATTGCTGCAGGGGATGCTGGAGAGTGGGACAAAAGACATTTTACTGTTTCAAAGCTGCATCTTTCCTTCTTTCATCTCCTTTCTGCTTAGCTCTCCATGTTCTTCAGACCGCCCCCCCACCCTGCCTCCCTTTAAGGGGCAGATTAAGGAACAACATGGGAAAACAAAGGAAACAGAAGAATGTTTTATTTTAAAGAAATATTTCTCAAGAGTGTCTGCTCTCAAATGCTTACCTTCATATTTTCATTTTGTTGCTTTGGTTTTTTTGTGTATTTAAACACATTCCCCCTGTCATAAACACTCCTTGTGCCATTTCCAGTGTCAGGAAGGGAGATCTGGTTCTGTAAAGGTACACTCATAAGGAAGCAGATGGAAGATAAAATGCTGGGTGAGATTTTCTCTCTCTCTTGTCACTGGCTCATTTATTGTCCCTTTCCATCTGTCTTTGCCTGCCTTCTAAGATTGCATTGTGTATTTCTCTCACTGCTGCTAAGTGCCCGAGACTTAACTGAGCACCACACTCAGTTGCCTACAGAGCTTACATCAACAAGAAATAGTATTTAGTTATACTGGATTGGGCTCATGTTCAGTGTTTCTTACTGGATTTTTTTAAAAAAATATAGTTGTTCATGGATCTGCAGAAAGCTTTTTTGACAGGTTTACTGTGTAGTTCATCTTAACCAAAGATAGTCATCTACTGCCTGCTTCAGAGGGTTTTTCCTTCAGTGCTCATGTCTTAATGTTTTGCAGGTTTTTAATCCTTATTCTCACTTTTCAGCTGGCTTGCCTCTTGCTACTTTTTCATTATTTTCTTTAATAGGATTGTAGACAGGTTTTAAGGCAACTTTCCTGAGTTCAAAGCAGATCTCGTCCTGAAGTAGACGTTACTTCAGGAGGGACGTAAACTTCTTGCCTCTGTCTGCCCAGCTGGGGCACAGAGATGCCAGTGCTCCCTGACTGCAAGTGGCTGGGGAAAAGGACAATTAAACAGCAAGAGCTGCTGACTGCTTTACACACCATGCTGAGATTTTTAAAGTGCTGCAGCCTCAGAAAAGCATATAAAACTGGTGGGTCTAAGCTCACTTGACATTTTTTTTTTTTTCACATAAAGACCAGTATTTTCCATGTAAAGGGAAAATCTGTACGGGTGTGAATAAATCAGAATGCAAAGACTGTTGTTGGATTTACTGGCAGCCTTAGGTTAAAGGACTGAAATGGCCCAAAGCAAAACCACTAAAATGTCCTCGAATCCTGCTTAGAATAATGATGGAAATGTCCAGTGAACTGCATGATGTGATGCTAATAATTCCTGCATATGGAAAACGAGGTGTGACTCCTGTAAGGGCAAGACAGCCTGAGGTGATGACCAGGTGCTGGTGTCAGAAGCTTTTAGGAGAGGCTATGGAGAATGACCCAGGTCAGCTTTGCAACTGAGAGAAAATGTGTGTTTGGACAAAAGATCCAAGATCTTTTGAGATGGAGATGGGAGATAAGGTTGATTGTCTCCCCTTGGTGAGGACAAGATGGTAATTTTAAAGATTTAAAATACAAATCCCCAACATCTTTCAATACCTAGATGGGATTACTGGTTTGTTCTCAGTGTGGTTCTTTTTTAACTGTTCATCCATTCATTCAGCCTTTCTCTGATTTATTGTCCTGGTATAACAATAGTGTGAATTGGCTCCTCAAAGCTATATGAGATTTTAACAGATTCTCAGCCTTGGAGGATGGAATCCTTCTTCCTCTCTATTTCCATCATCCTTCTCCTCTCTCCCCTCAAGGGCAGGTACACTCATTTCTTCAGGCTTTATTCCTCTCTTAAATGGTGAAGTTTTTTTCCAAGAATATTTACCACAAGTTCAAGTGTTTTTTACACAGTTCAAAACAGAAGTTGTAAATAACAGTTAATATCTACAAAAATGAGCTATTGCTCACTTGAAGGTAGTTTAATATTTAAGATTACTCTTTTCTTTGCTTTCCATCTCAAAAAGAGTTGAGCATGTTGGGGCTTCTTGATTTGACTTCAAACTTTCAGATTCAATTTTTAGAAGTCTTGCCAATGTTTTCAATTATAGCAGGACTTTGACTTCTATTCCTCATTCTGTGTGCATTTCCATCATGTTCCAAGGGACATGTGCTCATTTAAATGTTGTATTAATTAACAAGATAAGTACTTGGGAAGTGGGGACTGTGGTATTATTGTCTAAACGAAAACAGTAGATGTACTTCTATTTCTATTTTATTTGACTGTGCTTACTGCTGTGTGCTGGGGTGTTCAGCATATGCACCCAGCTTCAGTTGGACAGAATACCATCTTAATTAAATTATTCTGGAAAAGCTGGTAGCTGTACTTTTGGGTTCCAATGTTCTTATTTCTCAGATGAAGATATTAAGATGCCATCATTTCACAGCAGAATGTCGTTGGTGACACCTAATTTTGAAATGTTCCAAACAGGTTTTCTTCTTCTTTATAATTTTCTATGGCTTTCAGTATTCCTAAATCCTCCCTGATTCCTTTCACACTTCTGTCTTCCCAGTCAGATTTCATGATTTCATTTAGTTTTCAATGAAAATGCATATTAAAATGTTCTTGAAGTTTAAGTATTAAATGAAATAGTGCTTGAGTATTTTACTGTCATTTTTTTTCATGTAATCTACTACTTTTCTGGAGTTTGTGATTTTTTTTTTTTTTTCGTTTGAGGATAAATTCTTGATATATAAGGTGAACAGAGAAAAATAAATTCTTGGCCATAGGAATGTAAAGGTAACATATCTTAATTTAGGGTAAGGCCTCACTAGATGGATATCTTGTGGTGAAAAGTAAACTGGTTCAAAGTAATTTATCTTTTAAATTTCTAGGAGTTTTGGATTGTGACAAATAGAATACTAATTTTTTTTCTTAAGTTAAGTACGTAATTAGAACAATAACAATTTCACACATTTTAGTTTTGGTTTTCAAGAAGCTCAGATTTTGTTGTAAAACTTGTGGCAGAGTGAAGCGGCTTCAGTTCGAAACTGGGCAAAAACACCAAGTGTAGAGGTTTTGGTTCGAATTTTCTGGCCAATGCACCAATGAATGTAGCAGGTTTAATGCTGGCCAAATGCCAGTACACCTACTAGAATTATTTATTCATTTGCTATTGAGAGGTAAAAGGAGAATTAGGAGAGGAGCAAAGCAGGCCCAGTCGGGCGGCTGCACTCGGCCATTCGCCAAGTGTATTGTTCGCAGATCGTTGTTTTCTGTGAGCGAGTGCTGAGAGTTCGCGGAGATTTGGTCTCTGCGAGCAACTCCTGAACTCGCAAAGCATTGGTCTTTGCGAGGGACTCCTAAATTCACAGAACATTGGTTTCTGTGAGGGAGTCCTGTACTCGCAGAACATTGGTCTCTGCCAGGGAGTCCTGAATTTCGTTTGAAGGTAAAGATTGACTCAAATTGTGCTTTCTGGTTTTGTCCCATCTGTGCTCTGAAAGAGAATGCCAAAGGGAAATACAGGATGGGATAAAGCCAGTCTCCAGTTCGGTGGCATGTACTGCTGAGGGGATGAACAATAGATGGTCTACTGATGGTGCTCTTTTTTCACCAAAGAAATGCAACATTTCCTAAATGTACTAGTCTATACATTTTTTCCTATCGTATTTATTTAAACTGCTTATAGGTGAATGAGTTCTGTTCAAGTTTCAGTGGGTTGTTATGATCTGTTTATTAAAATTATTAAGGAGATGCCCCTGAATTAAGGTGCAAAATGAGACCATATGCCAAAGTCAATAGTCTGGATTTTGTGTAACAGTCAATGTGAGGGAGAGAGAGGGAGAAAGAAATAGAAAAAGGAGGGGGGGCGGAGGGGGCTGGAAAGGGGGAAGAAAGACAGTGACAGAGACAGATTTAGTAGAAAATTTCACCGTTCCATGGATCCCATCCCATTCAATCCTCTTCTGGTCTTCTCTGTGGTGAGGTCTTGCAAAATGTAAGAGTCCAATGGATTAATGCAGATTTGGGCAAGGTGGGACTGCCAAGTACCTCCCTGGGGTGGGACAAGTTTGGCTCTGTCTCTTGCTAGTTTTGAATAATCTAAAATTTTTAGCACCAGTATATCCCTTGAGTCTGCCATGAATTGGGTTGTGGATTTTCAGAGTTCCATTGTTGTTCTTTCCAGTTTTATTGAGGCATTGTCGCTCATCTGCGACATCTTCCCTTGAAAATGGCATCTGGATTCCCGAAAAAGACACCAACACCTTGTCTTTTGCTCACGGACAGACTGAAGTCTGATAAAACATAGGAGGAAACAAATGCCCAAAGAGCAGAAATCCCCAAACATGTTACATCAAATCATGGAGAGACTAATGGGACACAGCCATGTGGTTGGAGTGTGTTGCACTCTGTATTATTAATTTCTTGGTGCTAAGTATTTAAGCAATTATCAACCAGGGCTTCCAGAACTGTCCTGGTGGCTGTGATCACAAATTATTCACCAGTGCCACTTGTTCAAGGAAGGGTTTTCTGAACAAGCGTGTCTCTGAGGTTCTTGCTGGTTTGTTTTGTTTTGTTTTGTTTTGCCTTTCAGGTGCTTCCCTCTAAGTTCCAGAGGGAGAAGTTTCTCAACACGAAGCAGGAGGCCAGCACTGGGGGGAGTTTTCTGCCCAGAATTGGCCCACGGATGGACCTGAGCAAGACTGGTCCAAAGGTAGCCTTTTCCTTCTCTTTTCCTTTCTGTTTGATGGGAAGTTTGAAGAGGGTGTGTGCTTGTGACAGGCTTGCCTCCAGCAAAATACCTCAGTGTCCAGGTCCTGCTGTCATTGCAAACTGATGGGAGTGGTGGACTGGGAGTCCTGATGTGCACTGAGCCAACACAAATAACCTCTGCTGCAGCTGCTGGGGTGTGCTGCAGTGTAGCTGCCATTGCTAAAACAATGGGGGGAAGGCTGGGGACACAAAGGCACAACATTGGCATTTGCCATTCTCCTGCTGAAGGAGCCTCCTCTTGCTTTGGTGTGGTCACCATCAAATGCTCGGGGTCACAGGATTCCCTCCACCGTGGCAGCATTGGCCTTTGAAGGCCAAGGACCTGCAGGAATTACTTCAGATGTAACAAATTAAATACTTTAATGCTCTGGGTTGGAGCAATGTGTTGGACCCTGATGGGGTGTTAGATTTTGCAGGCTGCCAGATGTACAGGAGACTTGCCCTGGGCAGAGGGCAATGGATGTGCTTTCTGTGGATCAGTGCCTGCTTAGACGTGTGTTTAAAGCTGCTTTTCTGGCAGGACTGGCTCAGTATAAAGCACAGTCCAAACGGGTTGGTGACTGAGGTGGGCTGTTGAGCAGGAAATTAGCAGCAAGAGACATGGAACAAACTGGTTAAGGATTGCCCTGGAGAGGGGCATTGGGAACACCTCAGGGAGGGGCACAACTGAGGGACAGTGTGCTGCAGCCTCACTGTGCCTGCCGTGGAGTCACACAGGAGAGCTGCTGGTGTCTCTGCAGTGACAGCAGTGTGGCTGCAGAAGGCAGACAAAGCAGGGGAGAGTTTTCTCAAAGCAATGTCTCTGCTCCAGAAGCATTTGCTGTTGTGTCATTCTAGACATGCCTCTACAATGGTATTAAATACCATAGCAATAATTAGAAGAAAGCACCCATTTAAAGCTTATGGGAAAAGGAGATACCAACTCTACTCTTACCCAAGTTGCAGAGAAAATAACTGAACCTTGTCCTCATTCAGCATTCACCTCATTTGTCTTTTTCCTGACTTCTGTAGTACTTTATTTTTGCCTTTACCTCTGTTAGAAAGGCAGTAACTTTTAAATGCAATGAAAGGGGACAAAATCATGAAATCAAAAGAAAACAGTTTATTAGTAACAATTCAGCTGAGCCGGGCGTGTCTCCCTGCCCCCAGAGATGAGCAAACACAGCCTCCAACAAAAAGGCAATCTTTGTATCCCCTTTGTACCCAGCCGGGACAGTGCCTCTCCCCTTTCCCCTTGGAGGGGCACTCGGGAGCTTCATTCTCTCTGACTGAACTTTTTTGTCCCCTTCCCTCTCATCCTGCTTCCTTTTGGTCAGGTCTTCAACCCCATCCCTCTGCCAGCTCACAGCAACACCAACAAACCAACCTGAACAAATCTAAACCACAAGAAACACATAGAACCAACAAATTCCATTCTTTCCCTTAATAACCTTTTGGCTTCAGCCAAATATCACCTCATCTCTCACACCTCCTCTGGTACTGTTCTCTTCTTACTGATGCCTAAGTTCTACATCAAAATAGGTGTTTGCAATAGTGTGAGCCTCAGATTCCCTGTCTCAGAGTAAAGATATCCCAAAACTGTTTCCCATAGAGTCTGATGTAAATTTGTGGGTTTTACTTACTCCATGAGTGTTCAGTCAGTGTCCCAGTGGGCACAGGGCTGTGCTTAAGGTAAGTGCTGCCTGGCATTGTGGAGAAGGAAAGCTGGAGAAATAAAAAGAGCAGCTTGTCTTGAGCCTGCTCTGTGTGACCCAGCAACTCTTGATCAGCTCAGAGCAGAGGTGGGTGAGCCACTGTTTCCCCAGAGTGGGCTGGGCAGCGCCTGTGCTTCACTGGGGATCAGTGTAAGATTGTCCTTCATGAACCTTCCTCCCAGCAGCTGAAGCTCTCCCTGCTCTCTCTCTGCTCTTCAGCTATCACCAGAACCCCCGAAAAAGAGCTTGTTTCAGGTTTCTCCAACAGAGATGGTATTTCAGAACTTCATCTGTGAATGCCAGAGGGCAGAACCTGGCCTGCTGGCTGCAGGCAGGAATGCCCAGCAGCCCAGCTTGCCTGCACAGGCAGCAAGAAGCCCTGGAGAGCCAAGATTGGCTTTTCATACTGGAACCACACTGTCAGTCAGTGCTGGTCATGTTTCTCCAGGCAGAAAATGCCTTTGAAGCCCATAGTTGATAGGCACAGCCTGTCTGTGTTTCTGTCACTTTTGGCAAGCTGATTGCTCTCATGGTTTTATGATTCTTCCTTGCTGCTTTACTGCCCATTTAAATTCTCTTTGCCATCTCCTTGTTTTAGGGTTTGTCTTGCTGTGTTCCTTCTTTTGCCTTTCAGATTTGCTTTTATTCCCAGTAAGGTCACAGTGTTTGGTCTCCTCTCTTGCTGGTCCGCCTGCATGACTGTGTCCCCAGAACAGCCCTACCCAAACCTGATCTGCTAGAAGGGAATTTCTTCCTTCCCCAGGACAATGTGCTGGTTTGCTTTCAGGGAGCACATTCCCCCTCTGGAACACGACTGCATGGCTGTGTGCTGGCAGAAGCCAGCAGGTTTTTTGGCCCTGTTGAATATGCAGATGACTTGGTTCAGGTGCTCCATCTCCATCCTGCTGGTGCTGACCTGCTTGGCCCTTCCTTCCCACCAGGCCTTGCCCTACTGGCCCTGGCCAAAATGCTGGAGCCAGAGAGAAGGGATTCAAGCTCACCCTTGTGAATGATGTGCCTGCACCTCCACAGCTGAAAGTGCTTTGGAAAGGGGTCAAGGAGGGATGACACCAGGGCACGGACAGGTCTCCTCTCATCCTATTTCCACAAGTGGCAAAATCATCATTTCACGTCTTTGCTGCAGATTGCTCGGATGGTGAAGGTGTGCATGGAGAGCTCACCTTATTTCCAGCTGGCATGCCCCAGTGATGTGTACCACATCGTGCCACCAGGAGCCTCTGCCCCTGTGCGCATCCGTTTCACCCCCAAGGAGAATAAGGTGAGACTGGAGGAGCCAAAACACAGAATTCTCTCCAAAGCCACCGTTTTCCCTGCACTCTGGGTGCAGCCATGCATGAGCTTGGCTCCAGGCCGTGGGCAGGCAGCCTGCAGCCAGTCCCAGCTTGGCATGTGCTGCCAGGCACTGCAGCCAGGCCTGACAGGCTCTGCTTTCCCTGCCTGCACATTCCTGAGCATTCCCAAGGGAAGATGCACAGGGAACAGGATGAAAATGACAGAGGGGTGTTGACAGATGTTCGGCCATCTCTAGGTACAGTGGAAGGGGTTTCAATATTATGGAAAACACTGAAGGAACAAAGAGGTCAGAGACCTTTCCTCCTTCCTGACTGCCAACAGCTTCCCTGCCTCTCCCTGGGCTGGTGCAAAGACGATGCTTTTTCACAGCCTGTGTTCTCCAGCCTTGCAGCTGTGCTGTCCCAGAGCGCAGCTGACCATGGTGCAGCTGCAGGGCCAGGGCAGAGCTTGTGCTGTGCCCGTGAGCCCAGCCTGGCACAGGCACACTGGGCTCTGGGTGCCCTTGGTCAGCAGGAGGTTGCTGAGCTGCAGGGGACTTGGAGACCTGCCTGCAGGAGCTCGTGTAGGGCAGGCACAACCTGCAGGCAGAGCTGTGAGCCCAGAGCCCATGGCAGTGACACTGCTGTGCCTCTGTCTTCATGCCTGTCACTGTGGTTGCTCTGTCAGCTGGCACCCACTCTGTGCCAAACGTGCCAGGCCAGAGGTGCAGGATTTCTTTGGGTGCAGCTCTTTTCTCATCTTCCTTTTGCTGCTTAGAGTCAGTTTAACACTTTGTCCTACTCTCAGACAGCGGGAATATAGAAACTTAAAGAGGAATGTCCTGTGTTCCCTAGCTCCATATTTCTTAGAAGGAACTTAACAATTATTTAACATCATTAAAATTTAGAGTAGAAATTATGGTGGCCTGCAGCGGCGGCTGGATGACACCAGGGCACGGACAGGTCTCCTCTCATCCTATTTCCACAAGTGGCAAAATCATCATTTCACGTCTTTGCTGCAGATTGCTCGGATGGTGAAGGTGTGCATGGAGAGCTCACCTTATTTCCAGCTGGCATGCCCCAGTGATGTGTACCACATCGTGCCACCAGGAGCCTCTGCCCCTGTGCGCATCCGTTTCACCCCCAAGGAGAATAAGGTGAGACTGGAGGAGCCAAAACACAGAATTCTCTCCAAAGCCACCGTTTTCCCTGCACTCTGGGTGCAGCCATGCATGAGCTTGGCTCCAGGCCGTGGGCAGGCAGCCTGCAGCCAGTCCCAGCTTGGCATGTGCTGCCAGGCACTGCAGCCAGGCCTGACAGGCTCTGCTTCCCCTGCCTGCACATTCCTGAGCATTCCCAAGGGAAGATGCACAGGGAACAGGATGAAAATGACAGAGGGGTGTTGACAGATGTTCGGCCATCTCTAGGTACAGTGGAAGGGGTTTCAATATTATGGAAAACACTGAAGGAACAAAGAGGTCAGAGAGCTTTCCTCCTTCCTGACTGCCAACAGCTCCCTGCCTCTCCCTGGGCTGGTGCAAAGACGATGCTTTTTCACAGCCTGTGTTCTCCAGCCTTGCAGCTGTGCTGTCCCAGAGCGCAGCTGACCATGGTGCAGCTGCAGGGCCAGGGCAGAGCTTGTGCTGTGCCCGTGAGCCCAGCCTGGCACAGGCACACTGGGCTCTGGGTGCCCTTGGTCAGCAGGAGGTTGCTGAGCTGCAGGGGACTTGGAGACCTGCCTGCAGGAGCTCCTGTAGGGCAGGCACAACCTGCAGGCAGAGCTGTGAGCCCAGAGCCCACGGCAGTGACACTGCTGTGCCTCTGTCTTCATGCCTGTCACTGTGGTTGCTCTGTCAGCTGGCACCCACTCTGTGCCAAACGTGTTTTGTGTGGAGGTTTGAACAGCAGTGCTGAGGCCCTGGCAAGTCTGATCTCAGTGCTGGGATCTGGAGGCTTGTTCATCCAGAAGGGTTTAGGCCATGGCGTGGAAGGGAGGAAGCCTTGCAGGGAAACAAAGACAGGCTCTTTCCAACATCCTGCTGCCTCTTAGCACTGTTCTTCTCCTGACTTGCTTGGAGAGGCAAAGTTAGAGGGGAGTTCTGAGCCAGCTGATGTTTCTACACCAGGCCAGAGTTGCAGGATTTCTTTGGGTGCAGCTCTTTTCTCATCTTCCTTTTGCTGCTTGGAGTCAGTTTAACACTTTGTCCTAGTCTCAGACAGCGGGAATATAGAAACCTAGAGAGAAATGTCCTCTGTTCCCTAGCTCCATATTCCTTAGAAGGAACTTAACAATTATTTAACATCATTAAAATTTAGAGTAGAAATTATGGTGGCCTGCAGCGGCGGCTGGCCTCAAAGGACGTCCCAGCTAGCTGCGGCCAGCAACAGAGGGGTGTTGACAGATGTTCGGCCATCTCTAGGTACAGTGGAAGGGGTTTCAATATTATGGAAAACACTGAAGGAACAAAGAGGTCAGAGAGCTTTCCTCCTTCCTGACTGCCAACAGCTCCCTGCCTCTCCCTGGGCTGGTGCAAAGACGATGCTTTTTCACAGCCTGTGTTCTCCAGCCTTGCAGCTGTGCTGTCCCAGAGCGCAGCTGACCATGGTGCAGCTGCAGGGCCAGGGCAGAGCTTGTGCTGTGCCCGTGAGCCCAGCCTGGCACAGGCACACTGGGCTCTGGGTGCCCTTGGTCAGCAGGAGGTTGCTGAGCTGCAGGGGACTTGGAGACCTGCCTGCAGGAGCTCGTGTAGGGCAGGCACAACCTGCAGGCAGAGCTGTGAGCCCAGAGCCCACGGCAGTGACACTGCTGTGCCTCTGTCTTCATGCCTGTCACTGTGGTTGCTCTGTCAGCTGGCACCCACTCTGTGCCAAACGTGTTTTGTGTGGAGGTTTGAACAGCAGTGCTGAGGCCCTGGCAAGTCTGATCTCAGTGCTGGGATCTGGACGCTTGTTCATCCAGAAGGGTTTAGGCCATGGCATGGAAGGGAGGAAGCCTTGCAGGGAAACAAAGAGAGGCTCTTTCCAACAGCATCCTGCTGCCTCTTAGCACGGTTCCTCTCGTGACCTGGGTTAGAGCGGCAAAGGTAGAGGGGAGTTCTGAGCCAGCTGATGTTTCTACACCAGGCCAGAGTTGCAGGATTTCTTTGGGTGCAGCTCTTTTCTCATCTTCCTTTTGCTGCTTGGAGTCAGTTTAACACTTTGTCCTAGTCTCAGACAGCGGGAATATAGAAACCTAGAGAGAAATGTCCTCTGTTCCCTAGCTCCATGTGTACCGTTGAAGGAACTTAAGAATTATTTAACATCATTAAAATTTCGAGTAAAAATTATGGTGGCCTAGGGCAGTTCTTTGTATGACCCAGTTGACACAAGAGGCCAATGCCACAGAGATAGGTTTTGCAAAGTGCAATGGTGCCTTTAAAATGTGACATATTAGTAGAACTTAGTGTTCCTTTTATGGTGGAATAGATAAATTGATGCCTTAAAGGGTTATAGAAATTATTTTTCTTCTGCCATGGGGATGGCCTAGCTGCGGCCAGCACCGCCAGCAGCACGGGGATACTCTCCCGATCCTGGGCTCGGTCAGGAGAGCGCCTAAGGCTTTCGCCTTGAGGGACGAGGATCCACAGTGAAAAGGCTGCTACCCAACAGGAGACAAAGAGATGGACTCCAGCTGTGGTTAAGTCCAGATTTAATAACTCCAGGTGATCCAACAGCTGAAGACCCCGAACTGGGGTCAGACATGAGTTTATAAGGAGGGGAGGGTACAGACATGGGCTCTGGTCTTCAGCCAATGGAGGGAAAGGTGGGAGTGAGGAGAGGTTAACAGACATAACAGGTGAACCAATACGGGAAAGCCTGGGGAGGGTCCCTGGCCCCTGAGCCAATCACTCGATGCCTTAGCTGGAAGATTCTAGATGGAAAGGTTGGGCCACCGAGTGACAGACAGGGCACCAGGGAGGGATTAAGGGATAGATACATTGGTTGTCAAGGGTAACGGGGAGGAGAAAGATTAAATTGACGGGACAATCAAGGAGAGGGAGAACCAGGGCAGAACCATTACTACCAAAAGGGGTACATGGAATGAACCAATTTACAACTTAATAAACACACCACAACAGTGGCCTAGGGCAGCTCTTTGTATGACCCAGTTGACACAAGAGGCCAATGCCACAGAGACAGGTTTTGCAAAGTGCACTGGTCCCTTTAAAATGTGACATATTAGTAGAACTTAGTGTTCCTTTTATGGTGGAATAGATAAATTGATGCCTTAAAGGGTTATAGAAATTATTTTTCTTCTGCCATCTGGTGCCTTTAAAATGTGACATGTTAGTAGAACATAGTGTTTATTTTAGGATGGAATAGCTAAATTGATGCCATGGATGAGTTTTAGGAAATTATTTTTCTTCTGCCATGGGGATGGCACTAAATGCCCAAAATGCTGAGCTGTTTTCTTTTCCTGCAGGATTATTCCCACGAACTCGTCTGCAAGACTGCAAAGGAAAAGATAGTTGTGCCTATTCGGGCCATTTGTGCCCGAGCCGTCCTGGACTTCCCTGACCAGCTGGCCTTCTCCACGTGTCCAGTCAATCACAGCACCCAGAAGACTCTGCTGGTTCACAACGTTGGTAACCGGGTAGCTCATTACCAGCTGAGCAGCCAGAGGTGAGGCAGCTCATCTGTTCTTGTGCAAAGGATATCACCTTTGGGTGATAGCAGAGTTGGGAAAGAGCAACAAAAGGAAGCAGAGCATCAGAGCTGCTGCCCTGCAGCCCTGGCTGGAAGTGAGCAGGATGGATGGCAGCTGCTCTTGCTTTCAGTGTTCTTAGCAGGATGCAGCCTTTGAGCTTTTCTGTCCCAGATTTCCTGGGGGTGCTGGAACATGTTGGTAGCTGGCTTGCACCCTCCTGAGCACAAGCAGCTTCTGAAATACTGATTCAGCACTGTCAGCAAACAGAGCCATTCTCTGGGAGGCCACAGGCACGTGGCTTTCCAGTGGTCCCTGCATCAGATGCCCAACATGAGCTGTGCTGTGGGCAGCCCGTGCAGTTCCTGTTCCTAAAGCTGATCTGATTTCCCTTGTCAGCTGAGGGCATCAGTCACCTCTTCTGTTCCATGATGCACCTTTGAAAGCCAGTTTAAAATTTCAAAGGTTATTTAAATCTCTGAATAAGGTTGTGCCCCCTTTCATTGAGATTTCTTTTTGAATACTCTGAAGTTCCTGAGTTGCTGCTGTTTTTTCATTTTGGTTTGTGTTAAATGTTTGCCAAAAGATCATGAATTCTTCATTGGGAACTGTCATGAAGGTCGAGCTCCTCTAATGCCTGTCAATATACCACATGCCCATAGGTATATGCACAGGTGTACAGGAAATAGGAGACATTTAGGGAATATGTGAAAAGCATTTGGGCTGATTTAGAAGATCAAAGTAAAAAATAACTTCTGCTGGAAATCATCTGAGCAGACACACTGCTCAAAGCAGGAGCAGTGTCTGGGGATTGCAAGGTGCATTGGGAGATCTGGACCTGTCTTTAGATGCCATACAGGAAAGCAAGCAAACAAATGGATCTAGTTAAAAAGCAGAAGAAAACAACCTATTAAAACCCTCTCCATAGTTTATCTTTTCTGCCTGTTGGGTGCAGTAGTGATTCATTGTAAGGGCAGATCTAACAGGATGAGAACTGTCTTAAGGAGCAGCTCACAACTGAGTGATAAAAGGCCAAAATTTAGCCTGCCAGCCCCATTTCTTGGCAGTGGTTTTCATTTGGTTGAGTGTCAGGGATGTCTCCTTCACAGCTCTTCTAGCTGTGGGCTCAAGGAACAGCTTAGTGATGTTGGCTGAAAGTCAGAGGAGTTGAGAGATGACTGCTACAGCAGGACCAGAGGAGTCTGGTGGGTGCAGCCCAGGGTAGGAGATGCAGGGCTGAATTGCAGTCAGATTTTCAGTCCTGAAACTGAGTCCTGGACTTGGCTGGATCCTCTTCTCCTGAGGCTTCTCCATCAGCCAGTTGTGATGATCTCACTAGTGGGAATGGGGACAGGTCAGGTCCGTAATTGCAGCAATAGGTCCTTAATGAGCAGAACCTGAAGCAAATGACATAAATAAAGCTCAGCTTGCCGGATGTTCTCTTTATTTTTGTGTGTGCTGCATTGATCACCAAACTCCCCAGAACACACTTTTAAGTGACAGACTGACCACCAGCAAAGCACCAAGGCAGGGAACTGTTGTGTCCTCAGTGGGGCTGTAGAAGAGCACAAGTGCCAGCAGCTGCTGGGCAGAAGCACATTTCCCTTGAGCTGTCCCTGAGCATCAAAGCACAGAGTCTTGTGATTGTCAGACAAGAGCTCTTTACCTAGTGACCAATCCTAATTGCTCCTGTTAAATCCAGAGTGCACCAACACATTTGCATCAACATTTCCAACACATTGCACAGAGTTTCTCTGCAGGGCCAAGGCTGGATGACAACCCAGAGTCCCAGACTGCATTGCTGGTAAATACACAGAGAACTCCTGTTCTGCCTCCTTGATGTGCTCCTGCTCATGGTGCTTCATTTAGCTGGCATTGGATCCTTCAGATTGTAAATGGCATCCTCCTTTTGGGTTTCCATGTCACTGTATTGCTCTAATCTGCATTTGCACTCTTTCAGAGTTTTGACTGCTCCCTTCCTTCGAGCCGCTTTCATTGAAATGCTGATAAAATGTGCCCTTTTTAGTCTAAATCAGGGTGTTTTCAAGGTAAAATAAACAAAAGAACCACACGGAATGGAATGGAATGGAATGGAATGGAATGGAATGGAATGGAATGGAATGGAATGGAATGGAATGGAATGGAATGGAATGGAATGGAATGGAATGGAATGGAATGGAATGGAATGGAATGGAATGGAATGGAATGGAATGGAATGGAATGGAATGGAATGGAATGGAATGGAATGGAATGGAATGGAATGGAATGGAATGGAATGGAATGGAATGGAATGGAATGGAATGGAATGGAATGGAATGGAATGGAATGGAATGGAATGGAATGGAATGGAATGGAATGGAATGGAATGGAATGGAATGGAATGGAATGGAATGGAATGGAATGGAATGGAATGGAATGGAATGGAATGGAATGGAATGGAATGGAATGGAATGGAATGGAATGGAATGGAATGGAATGGAATGGAATGGAATGGAATGGAATGGAATGGAATGGAATGGAATGGAATGGAATGGAATGGAATGGAATGGAATGGAATGGAATGGAATGGAATGGAATGGAATGGAATGGAATGGAATGGAATGGAATGGAATGGAATGGAATGGAATGGAATGGAATGGAATGGAATGGAATGGAATGGAATGGAATGGAATGGAATGGAATGGAATGGAATGGAATGGAATGGAATGGAATGGAATGGAATGGAATGGAATGGAATGGAATGGAATGGAATGGAATGGAATGGAATGGAATGGAATGGAATGGAATGGAATGGAATGGAATGGAATGGAATGGAATGGAATGGAATGGAATGGAATGGAATGGAATGGAATGGAATGGAATGGAATGGAATGGAATGGAATGGAATGGAATGGAATGGAATGGAATGGAATGGAATGGAATGGAATGGAATGGAATGGAATGGAATGGAATGGAATGGAATGGAATGGAATGGAATGGAATGGAATGGAATGGAATGGAATGGAATGGAATGGAATGGAATGGAATGGAATGGAATGGAATGGAATGGAATGGAATGGAATGGAATGGAATGGAATGGAATGGAATGGAATGGAATGGAATGGAATGGAATGGAATGGAATGGAATGGAATGGAATGGAATGGAATGGAATGGAATGGAATGGAATGGAATGGAATGGAATGGAATGGAATGGAATGGAATGGAATGGAATGGAATGGAATGGAATGGAATGGAATGGAATGGAATGGAATGGAATGGAATGGAATGGAATGGAATGGAATGGAATGGAATGGAATGGAATGGAATGGAATGGAATGGAATGGAATGGAATGGAATGGAATGGAATGGAATGGAATGGAATGGAATGGAATGGAATGGAATGGAATGGAATGGAATGGAATGGAATGGAATGGAATGGAGTGCTGAAGTGTGCCTGGGGATTCCCTTAACTGGCAGCATCTCTGTTCTGGTGAAATTTCTGGCAAAAGAATAAGAAAAAAATCCTGTGCCTTGCCCACACCAGGCACTGTCCCCCCGAAGCCCCAGCAGAGAGCTGCAGCAGCCCTGGCATCAGCCCCGGGGCAGATGCAGGAGCATGTGCACTGATCTGGCTCTGGGGCTGCTGGGGTCTTGTCTTTCCTCCCCTCCCTCCAAAGTCTCACGTCCAGCACATAAACAATTCTGGCCCAAGGCTTCTCCATCAGCCAGTTGTGATGATCTCACTAGTGGGAATGGGAACAGGTCAGGCCCATAATTGCAGCAAAAGGTCCTTAATGAGCAGAACCTGAAGCAAATGACATAAATAAAGCTCAGCTTGCCAGATGTTCTCTTTATTTTTGTGTGTGCTGCATTGATCACCAAACTCCCCAGAACACACTTTTAAGTGACAGACTGACCACCAGCAAAGCACCAAGGCAGGGAACTGTTGTGTCCTCAGTGGGGCTGTAGAAGAGCACAAGTGCCAGCAGCTGCTGGGCAGAAGCACATTTCCCCTGAGCTGTCCCTGAGCGTCCCTGCATCAGATGCCCAACATGAGCTGTGCTGTGGGCAGCCCGTGCAGTTCCTGTTCCTAAAGCTGATCTGATTTCCCTTGTCAGCTGAGGGCATCAGTCACCTCTTCTGTTCCATGATGCACCTTTGAAAGCCAGTTTAAAATTTCAAAGGTTATTTAAATCTCTGAATAAGGTTGTGCCCCCTTTCATTGAGATTTCTTTTTGAATACTCTGAAGTTCCTGAGTTGCTGCTGTTTTTTCATTTTGGTTTGTGTTAAATGTTTGCCAAAAGATCATGAATTCTTCATTGGGAACTGTCATGAAGGTCAAGCTCCTCTAATGCCTGTCAATATACCACATGCCCATAGGTATATGCACAGGTGTACAGGAAATAGGAGACATTTAAGGAATATGTGAAAAGCAGTTGGGCTCATTTAGAAGATCAAAGTAAAAAATAACTTCTGCTGGAAATCATCTGAGCAGACACACTGCTCAAAGCAGGAGCAGTGTCTGGGGATTGCAAGGTGCATTGGGAGATCTGGACCTGTCTTTAGATGCCATACAGGAAAGCAAGCAAACAAATGGATCTAGTTAAAAAGCAGAAGAAAACAACCTATTAAAACCCTCTCCATAGTTTATCTTTTCTGCCTGTTGGGTGCAGTAGTGATTCCTTGAAAGGGCAGATCTAACAGGATGAGAACTGTCTTAAGGAGCAGCTCACAACTGAGAGATAAAAGGCCAAAATTTAGCCTGCCAGCCCCATCTCTTGGCAGTGGTTTTCATTTGGTTATTAGAGTGTCAGGGATGTCTCCTTCACAGCTCTTCTAGCTGTGGGCTCAAGGAACAGCTTAGTGATGTTGGCTGAAAGTCAGAGGAGTTGAGAGATGACTGCTACAGCAGGACCAGAGGAGTCTGGTGGGTGCAGCCCAGGGTAGGAGATGCAGGGCTGAATTGCAGTCAGATTTTCAGTCCTGAAACTGAGTTCTGGACTTGGCTGGATCCTCTTCTCCTGAGGCTTCTCCATCAGCCAGTTGTGATGATCTCACTAGTGGGAATGGGGACAGGTCAGGTCCGTAATTGCAGCAATAGGTCCTTAATGAGCAGAACCTGAAGCAAATGACATAAATAAAGCTCAGCTTGCCAGATGTTCTCTTTATTTTTGTGTGTGCTGCATTGATCACCAAACTCCCCAGAACACACTTTTAAGTGACAGACTGACCACCAGCAAAGCACCAAGGCAGGGAACTGTTGTGTCCTCAGTGGGGCTGTAGAAGAGCACAAGTGCCAGCAGCTGCTGGGCAGAAGCACATTTCCCTTGAGCTGTCCCTGAGCATCAAAGCACAGAGTCTTGTGATTGTCAGACAAGAGCTCTTTACCTAGTGACCAATCCTAATTGCTCCTGTTAAATCCAGAGTGCACCAACACATTTGCATCAACATTTCCAACACATTGCACAGAGTTTCTCTGCAGGGCCAAGGCTGGATGACAACCCAGAGTCCCAGACTGCATTGCTGGTAAATACACAGAGAACTCCTGTTCTGCCTCCTTGATGTGCTCCTGCTCATGGTGCTTCATTTAGCTGGCACTGGATCCTTCAGATTGTAAATGGCATCCTCCTTTTGGGTTTCCATGTCACTGTATTGCTCTAATCTGCATTTGCACTCTTTCAGAGTTTTGACTGCTCCCTTTCTTCAAGCCACTTTCATTGAAATGCTGATAAAATGTGCCCTTTTTAGTCTAAATCAGGGTGTTTTCAAGGTAAAATAAACGAAAGAACCACACTGCAAATTCAACAGTGACTATTCCTTGGTCTTCAAGGAAAAGTTCCTTCTCCCTGTCTGATTCCTAGGCTGTAATCTCCCAGGACAGGTAGTGCCCTAACATTTGCATCTCTTCAGATGAGGTTTATAGGCAGCAGGACAAGAGAAATTCCTGAGGCAGTCAGTGTCAAATTGGGCATGCAGATAGTTCTGAAGCCTCTCTGTGCTCTTCACAAACCATTCTCTGGTGGGATTGCTGGCAGTCAGACCCTTGAGTGTCACTGCAGAGAGCTGGATGCAGAGTATGGGGAGCTGAGGTCGTTTTACCCACAGGATCTCGTGAGGGCTGGATCTCCTCAGCAGTGGCTCCGTGGCTGTTTCTGATCCTGTCTGTTCTGTCTTCTGCTGCCTGTGCTTGGTTTGCTCCCTGCTTGCCCAAGGGAGCTGAAGTGAGCTGCACTGCAGAAGGAGTCTCATGCCCAGGTGTCCTCTGAGCCCTGATCCCTCTCTTTGTGTTGCAGTCCTTTCTCCGTGGTTCCAGCCACAGGAACTCTGGGCGCTGGTGACACCATGGAGGTGACAGTGGGATTTCACCCGCTGACAAACGATGACTATTCTGGGTCCCTGTGCTGCAACACAGGTGAGTGCTGGGCCCTGCAGGGGCACAGGACAGCTCTCCACCATGGCTCCCTGTTGTCCCTTCCCCTCCATTCCCTCCAGAGGTGCCTCCCCTGTTCAGCTTTACCCCAAAGCAAACTGAGAACGCCTTGGTGTTTAGGGGGTGGATAAAGTGGATCCCCTCTAACGGGCTAAGATTTTTGACTCCTGTTTTGCTGGGAGTTGCTGAGTGGAGGAAGGAGGATCCCTGATTCTCCATTACCATGTGGCTATGCCTGGGTGAAGTTTTATGTTATTCCTGGGCAGTGCTTCATGTGAGGTCTCCATCAGACTGTCTCCAATGCAATGGATTTCTTGCACCCCTCTGTCCTGTATGGTGTTTCTCCACTGGCTTGTCACAGACCCTTTTTCTATGTTGCCCTTACACATATATGTAGTTTCTGTCTAATACCATTTTCAGGCCCTCAAGTTGCTTTTTTTGTGACTAATCAAAACAAATTTTTCCCTGACTCCATTTCCCAGTCCGTTCATGCTGTTACAAACCTCTCACATCTATCTCCCATTTGATTTCTAGACTGAGGAATCCCATTCAGTCTTCATAGAGAAGCTGCTCTATACTTACTAATCTTTCCTTTGTCCCTTTTTTATTTAATTTGCAATGCTCCATCTTGGTTTTTGAGATCAGAACAATATAAAATATTTCAAGACTGATGTGGCTGTGGGTTTGGACAGGGAGATGATGATGATGATTTTCATGGTGTTCTCTTTGTAGCAGTTTGTCCTATTGCAGAGCCAGGCTGGTTGTGTTTCCTCACCTGTTTTCCCTCCTGCTGTGGGCTGTCACTTCACTTGTTCCTCTGGGCCTCCTTTTGCTGCCCACATGCCCCCAGGCACATTTGCTGGTCAGCAACAAGAGATGCAAGAGATCAGGAGAGACAGGAGTCTGGTGGCATGCCCGGGGAGAGCCTGGGCAAGGCAGGACTGAGAAGGGCTCCTCAGCGTCACCTGAAGGACTTTGGTGCAGAAATCCCGGTGATCTGAGTGGGTCACCAGAGCACATGGACCAATCTCCCTGTACACACTGTCACCTTGGGGCCAAAGCTCTACAAACACACTCAGAAATAAGGTGTTTAAGGAGCTGCCCAGGACATCTCCACTCTACACACAGAGCTGTCAGGATGTGATAAATGTACTGATCCACAGAACTGCTCATTCAGCTAAAATCTGTGACACTTCCTTCTGTGACCTGTGGTTTGTTCTGTTCCTTGTGCTTCCATCAGCCAGTGAGCTGAGCAAAGACTATTCTTTGCTTTGTTCCAGGTGAAGAAAGTATCCACACAAAGCTCTATGGAGAAGCTGTAGGTCTCGATGTTGTGTTGAGCACAAATTCCGTGAAGTTTGACAAGACTTTCATCACCATGTCAAACCAGACAACCATGTTCATCGAAAACAGGAGTAACATCACAGCCCACTTCCAGTGGAAGGCTTTTCCTGCTGAGGAAGATGACAATGAAGAGAAAAAGAGGTTGGTTAGAAAGATGCATTTCAGTGCCATACTCGGCCCAAGACTTAAACTAACCTATGGCCTCAGGGTGCTTTTGAATGGTTTAGGCCAAGTAAACCATCCCTGGCACCAGGGTGTGTGTCCCTGGGCTTCAGGAGCTCAGCACTTAGCATTCCAGTTCCATTTATACTCCAATCAAAAATGGCATTTTGGGAAGGAAAGGTTGGTTGCAATGGCTGGATTTGGGTTCCTGTCTCTCTAATCTTCTTCCTACATGACCTGGCAACATCCCTAAACATTTCCTGAGTTGCCAGCCCCTCTTTCCAAAGGTGATACACCCTCTTGTTTTCCCTTAGTTCCTTCAAAAGCTCCTTGCCTATCCAGGCTGGTTGTCTACCCCATCAGCTTGTCTTTCAGCACACAGGGACAGTTTGTTCCTGTGCCTTCAAGACTTCTTTCTTGAAGTATGTCCGTTCTTCCTGGACCCGTTTGTTTTTAAGGGCTGTTTCCCAAGGCACACTCCAAATTAGCCTCTTGAAGGAGGCCTGGAGGCCAAATCTGCCCTCCAGAAGTCCAGAGTGGAAGTTTTGTTGATGCCCATCCTTGTTTCACCAAATATTGAGAACTCTATTATTTCATGGTCACTGTACCCCAGACAGTGGTGAACAGATGAAGTTCATTTAGTTATTAGGGAGTCCCCTTGTCCCCTTGTGATATCCACTGCCTGGATCGCAGGGAGGCAGCACACTTCCCTGTGGAATGGATCCAGTAGACACCCAGGACCCTCAGTTCCCCTTAGAAGGGAGTCACCCACTTCCACTACTCTTCTTTTCTTCTTAATACTTGAGGCTGTGCTCTGTCTGACAGACCAAGTGCAACTGGGAGACTCTCCAGAAAGAATATTTTCTTTAGTGTCATCTGCCAGACCCTCTGGATCCAGCACTTCATACCTATTCTGTTAGGGCACCTGGGTAGGTGGTGGGTGTCAGGAAGGAATTTTATCACTTCCCCAGCAGAGACCCATTTCTATTCCCCACTGTCTCTTACGTCTCCTCCTTTTGCCTCATCTGAAGGAATTTTATCACTTCCCCAGCAGAGACCCATTTCTATTCCCCACTGTCTCTTACGTCTCCTCCTTTTGCCTCATCTCAGGAAGGGCAGGGCTCCTCTGACTCCTGCTGAGATTTTCTCAGGGTTAGAAGGGTGTAACTCCACCAGTTTATTTCTGTTTCACTCTCCCTAATTCTCCTCAGCTTTTTCATTTCTTCCTTAAGCTCTGCCACTGGACCGAGCAGAAATTCAGCTGCTCACATGCAGGTGTCTTTCATACTATCTTGTGATATTAACACAAGGCTCAGACCCTCCCTGCAGCCAGTGGCCTGGACAGCTGCGTCCTTCCTGGGGGGGTCTGTTTGAGTTAGTACACTCTTGCTGGCAGCAGCAATGGCTTTTCATCATTTGTAAAACATTGCTGGAAAAAAAAAAAAAGGCAGAAAGAAGAAAAAAAAAAAGGCAAGCACCTCACAATCAGACAAAAGAAACAAGGAGGGTGGCTGGCTGCATCCTTTTTGCTCAGCCCAAGGCAGGACTGAGCAGGGCTCCTCAGCGTCACCTGAAGGACTTTGGTGCAGAAATCCCGGTGATCTGAGTGGGTCACCAGAGCACATGGACCAATCTCCCTGTACACACTGTCACCTTGGGGCCAAAGCTCTACAAACACACTCAGAAATAAGGTGTTTAAGGAGCTGCCCAGGACATCTCCACTCTACACACAGAGCTGTCAGGATGTGATAAATGTACTGATCCACAGAACTGCTCATTCAGCTAAAATCTGTGACACTTCCTTCTGTGACCTGTGGTTTGTTCTGTTCCTTGTGCTTCCATCAGCCAGTGAGCTGAGCAAAGACTATTCTTTGCTTTGTTCCAGGTGAAGAAAGTATCCACACAAAGCTCTATGGAGAAGCTGAAGATGTCAATGTTGTGTTGAGCACAAATTCCGTGAAGTTTGACAAGACTTTCATCACCATGTCAAACCAGACAACCATGTACATTGAAAACAGGAGTAACATCACAGCCCACTTCCAGTGGAAGGCTTTTCCTGCTGAGGAAGATGACAATGAAGAGAAAAAGAGGTTGGTTAGAAAGATGCATTTCAGTGCCATACTCGGCCCAAGACTTAAACTAACCTATGGCCTCAGGGTGCTTTTGAATGGTTTAGGCCAAGTAAACCATCCCTGGCACCAGGGTGTGTGTCCCTGGGCTTCAGGAGCTCAGCACTTAGCATTCCAGTTCCATTTATACTCCAATCAAAAATGGCATTTTGGGAAGGAAAGGTTGGTTGCAATGGCTGGATTTCCTCAGGTTCTAATTGGGCTCCTGTCTCTCTAATCATATTCCTACATGACCTGGCAACATCCCTAAACATTTCCTGAGTTGCCAGCCCCTCTTTCCAAAGGTGATACACCCTCTTGTTTTCCCTTAGTTCCTTCAAAAGCTCCTTGCCTATCCAGGCTGGTTGTCTACCCCATCAGCTTGTCTTTCAGCACACAGGGACAGTTTGTTCCTGTGCCTTCAAGACTTCTTTCTTGAAGTATGTCCGTTCTTCCTGGACCCGTTTGTTTTTAAGGGCTGTTTCCCAAGGCACACTCCAAATTAGCCTCTTGAAGGAGGCCTGGAGGCCAAATCTGCCCTCCAGAAGTCCAGAGTGGAAGTTTTGTTGATGCCCATCCTTGTTTCACCAAATATTGAGAACTCTATTATTTCATGGTCACTGTACCCCAGACAGTGGTGAACAGATGAAGTTCATTTAGTTATTAGGGAGTCCCCTTGTCCCCTTGTGATATCCACTGCCTGGATCGCAGGGAGGCAGCACACTTCCCTGTGGAATGGATCCAGTAGACACCCAGGACCCTCAGTTCCCCTTAGAAGGGAGTCACCCACTTCCACTACTCTTCTTTTCTTCTTAATACTTGAGGCTGTGCTCTGTCTGACAGACCAAGTGCAACTGGGAGACTCTCCAGAAAGAATATTTTCATTAGTGTCATCTGCCAGACCCTCTGGATCCAGCACTTCATACCTATTCTGTTAGGGCACCTGGGTAGGTGGTGGGTGTCAGGAAGGAATTTTATCACTTCCCCAGCAGAGACCCATTTCTATTCCCCACTGTCTCTTACGTCTCCTCCTTTTGCCTCATCTCAGGAAGGGCAGGGCTCCTCTGACTCCTGCTGAGATTTTCTCAGGGTTAGAAGGGTGTAACTCCACCAGTTTATTTCTGTTTCACTCTCCCTAATTCTCCTCAGCTTTTTCATTTCTTCCTTAAGCTCTGCCACTGGACCGAGCAGAAATTCAGCTGCTCACATGCAGGTGTCTTTCATACTATCTTGTGATATTAACACAAGGCTCAGACCCTCCCTGCAGCCAGTGAGAGCCTGGGCAAGGCAGGACTGAGAAGGGCTCCTCAGCGTCACCTGAAGGACTTTGGTGCAGAAATCCCGGTGATCTGAGTGGGTCACCAGAGCACATGGACCAATCTCCCTGTACACACTGTCACCTTGGGGCCAAAGCTCTACAAACACACTCAGAAATAAGGTGTTTAAGGAGCTGCCCAGGACAACCCCACTCTACACACAGAGCTGTCAGGATGTGATGAATAAACTCATCCACAGAACTGCTCATTCAGCTAAAATCTGTGACCTGTGGTTTGTTCTGTTCCTTGTGCTTCCATCAGCCAGTGAGCTGAGCAAAGACTCTCCTTTGCTTTGTTCCAGGTGAAGAAATTATCCACACAAAGCTCTATGGAGAAGCTGTAGGTCTCGATGTTGTGTTGAGCACAAATTCCGTGAAGTTTGACAAGACTTTCATCACCATGTCAAACCAGACAACCATGTTCATCGAAAACAGGAGTAACATCACAGCCCACTTCCAGTGGAAGGCTTTTCCTGCTGAGGAAGATGACAATGAAGAGAAAGAAAAAAAATAAGGCAAGCACCTCACAATCAGACAAAAGAAACAAGGAGGGTGGCTGGCTGCATCCTTTTTGCTCAGCCTGATTGTGCCAACTGCCACACTAAAACAGAAAAAACTGTGCAAACTGCAGTGCCTGAATTGCCATGGCAAGCCCCTGTTTGCTGTGGGCCAGGTCACTCGCACTCCCCAGAGCCATTTTGCAACACCTGCAAAGGACCAGGAGATCTACCCTTACCTGCCTGAATGGCTGGTGAGAAGGTCATTTAGTGCCCTGGGCTTCTTGATTTTCCTCTGTTCTCTATCTATTTACACAGTGTCTGACTTCCATACAAGCTGTGTGTGTTAAAAGAATACTGCTTTACCTTCTCCAGCTACTTCCCTGCGCTGTTTATTTCCATTTTTTCCCACTTCCTGCTTCAGCCTGGACCCCAGGTGATCCACTTTTCCCTCTGAAGCAACTAAGTTTGCCAAAGTAAACTTCAACCTGGTTTTGGTTTTGTGGATTTTTGTCCAATTACATCTGTTTTCATGCTTGTTTGTGTGCTAGACTGTCACCAGGACATTTTGTTCTTCTTACTTCCAGTCTTTGGGATGGTTGTAGCACCAAGGCCACTGTCCTGCTGTCAGAGAAGCTTTTGAGATCTCAGAGCAGAGAGGACTTTTTTATGAGAGAAGATAGTGCAGGATCCATTCCCTCTCAGGACATTCTACTATCATGCACTGGGATGGGACCCAAAAAGCTCTGTATCCTGAAAAGGTCTCTCCAGGAGTTTGCTGTCTCCCTCCTGCACAACAAAGTCCCTTCCCCTCTCAGAGCCTCTGTTTTCATGCATATTGCATAGAAAACCTTGAATGTCACTGAAGGGATGCAGTGCCTGAATTCATCCATTTCCTTTGGAAGTGCTCTGGGATGCTCTTGTGAAAGGCAGAGTAGGGAACAGGGCAGGTCCAAAATGGAAGAAACAAAGAGTGCTGCTGGTAACATGTAGCTGCAAGCCAGTTTGGTCTCCTCTTCTCAGGGAAGCCCTGCAGTGGGTGCTCCATGATTTTTATCTGCATCCCCCAAGCAGCTCAGTGGTAGGAAAAGCCAGCTGAGGTGGCCAGCAGATTCTCCCTCACTTTTGGCAGAGGCTTTGAGCCAGGAGGTTCTCTGGAGGGCTGCTGGCTTTGGAAACCTCTCCTGAGCTTGCAAGTGTGGAGTAAAACTACCTGCTGTGCCAGTAAACAGCAAGTTATCCTCTGATCCATGTGGGACCCCCATGGCTTGGGATCAGCCTTGGCTGGGGAGCTGCTGCTGCTCCTCCCCAGGTGCTTTGCTCTCCTGCACTCCCACTTCTCTCTGCAAATATGTGCCTTATGAAACCATCTGCTGGCCTTGTCTCTCCCTGGGTCTACAGGCAGTGTCGTTTGCTGCAGCCATCGAGTGAGGTGTGGCTGGAAAACTTCATGGAGGAGAAAGAAATAGAGAAGGAGAAGGGCTTTTGTGAAGATTACACTGCCCTCCTGAGCAGCATGGTCCAGGAGAAAATGGCAAAGGTGCAAGAAGACCCCTTGCTGTTCTCCGATGACTTTTTTTCCATTGAGCCAATGGTAAGTGATAGCTGAGAACCTCTTTTTCCTCCTCTTCCTCTCCCAAGCACCCTACCCCTGCCCCCTTCCCCCAGCTGTGGTCACTGGGCAGATCCTCAGCTAGCCCCATGTGCTGAGAGGGAGGACATGGAGTTTCTGGTGTGGCTGCAGAGCTCCCTGCTCAAGGCATTTCTGCCCTAGGGCTCCAGGCAGGGCTGGGAGCCTGACAAAGCCGAGCTCTGCTGCCAGGGCTGGAGCTCAGGGCACTCCGTGCGTGTCCTTGCAGTGTCACAGGGAGCAGTTCTTGTAGGGAGGGGCTGCCCCCACACGTGGGGCTCAGCAGAGGCTGCTGGAGCACTGCCAGCTCACACACTGACCTGAAGCCTGCAGTGGTTGGCTGGGAAAAGGAGGCCAAATTCAGCCCAAAGTTAATCACAGAAATGCCCATCCCCTCCTGGAACCACGCCTTGCACTGCCGAGTTGCTGTCCGAGTTTTTCTCTGCTCCCCCGGGCTGGGGAGGAGGCTGCACTGGCCGAGCTGTGGCACAGCAGCTGGCAGCCGGGCGGCACTGCCCGGATGCGCCGGGGGCGTCCGGGGCGCGCAGCAGGAAGGCGAAGTAGAAAAGAGGGACTCGACTCGGGGGCAAAGTCCAGAGTTTTAATGTCTCCAGGGGAAGCCAGCCGGGTCGGGACCACGAGGTGGGGGCACAGCCGATTATAAAGGGGACGGAACATACAACACTTCAACCAATGAGGGAGAACTTGGGAGGGAACAAACTCGTGACAAACATGCCGGCTAGCCAATAGGGAATGTGACAGGGAGGGACCCTTGTTCCCGATCCAATCACCCACCGAGGACGGGAGAACTTTCTGGAAAGAGGGAAGGGGACAGGGTGTGATGGGCAGGAACTGAGGGAGGGATTGACAGAGAGTAACCAGGGGAACAGGGGTGGAGACAAAAAACTGACACTCTCAACATTGTACTATTTCTCAGTCTGCCTTCCAGTGTCATCTGTGAGCCTGGGCACGAGGCTGGAAGGTTTCGTGGTCACTGGGCAGATCCTCAGCTGGCCCCATGTGCTGAGAGGGAGGACATGGAGTTTCTGGTGTGGCTGCAGAGCTCCCTGCTCAAGGCATTTCTGCCCTAGGGCTCCAGGCAGGGCTGGGAGCCTGACAAAGCCGAGCTCTGCTGCCAGGGCTGGAGCTCAGGGCACTCCGTGCGTGTCCTTGCAGTGTCACAGGGAGCAGTTCTTGTAGGGAGGGGCTGCCCCCACACATGGGGCTCAGCAGAGGCTGCTGGAGCACTGCCAGCTCACACACTGACCTGAAGCCTGCAGTGGTTGGCTGGGAAAAGGAGGCCAAATTCAGCCCAAGGTTAATCACAGAAATGCCCATCCCCTCCTGGAACCACGCCTTGCACTATTTCTCAGTTGTGAGCAAGAGCTTGTGTCAGAGCAGTAGGAAATTGTGGAGAGTGGGAGCTGACCAGCATTGAGAGCTTCCAGCGCTGTGTTGAGCTGGTTTTGGAGTGTTTCCTTGGCTCCTTGTGTTGGTCACTCATCATTGATGCCCTGAACAAAGGCTTACAGGACTGTGGTTGAGAACTAGAAATGTGAAGTTTGAAGAGAAAGGTTTTGCTGTGTCTTTCTCTTGCAGGAGGGAGAAATTGGGCCGAATTGTTCGGCTGAAATCAAGGTGACCTTCAAACCCCTGGAAGCACTGGAATATCAAAGTGTGGCTTATTGCAGCATCTCAGGTACAGCTCCTTTGCCCTGCTTCTCTCCCCCTGAGTGAAGCCATGGTGCAAGCCTGAGCCCAGTGGGCTCCCATGGAACTGCTGGGAAGAGTCCCTGGTCAGCAGGGCAGTGCTGGCACATCCCCAGTGGCCCTGCAGCTTCCAGGGAGTCTCCCATGCAAGGCCAGGGCTCCGAATCCAGGGTTTGGGTTACTGATCCCAGAACAGCCCAGGCAGTGCAGGGAGAGGTTTTCATGCCATGGCTTTGCCACATTTCCTCAAAGGCCAGAGAGCTCCAGAGCAGAACAGCTTTAGTGAACAAGCACTAAGCCCCTTGAGGCCCCTGGGCTCCAGGACGGCTCCATTTGACATGGATCCATCATCAGGTGGTAGGAGCTGAGTTAGAAATGTGCTCCTGAGCCTGGATCACCTCCCACTGGCCAGACAGCACCAGAGCAGAGGTGGCTGAGCCCCACTGAGCCCAGGCTGTTTGTAGAAGCACCCTTGGCCAGCACCTGCTTCTCTCCCTGTGTGGGAGTTGTCACCTTGCAGCTCTCAGTCTGTGGAAACAGAGCACAGTGCTGAGGGTCAGAAGGTGAGGACTTTGGCAGCAAAGTCCTGTGCTACTGGGCCAGGTAGTTTGGTAATTGCCAAACTCTGTATCAGCTTTGTGCCTTCACTGAATGGATTTCAAAGCTCCTCTAAGTGCATTGGAAGGAAAGCACAGAATCATGGTATGTTAAGGATGGAATGGGCCTTAAAGATCATCTAGTGCCAAGGCCCCTGCCATGGGCAGGGACACCTCCCCTTAGACCAGGTAGCTGCAAGCCCCATCCAGCCTGGCTTTGAACACTTGCAGGGCTGGAACCTGCACAACTTCCTTGGGGAATCTGCTCCAGTGTCTCACCACCCTCACAGTAAAAAAATTCTTCCTAATATCTAAGCTAAATTTCCTTTCTTTCAATTTCTACCCATTACTCCTTGGCCTGTCACTACAGACACCAGAGATATTTTAAACTCGGCAAACTGGTGGCTCAAACTGGAAACCAGCCCAAGGAATGGGTTAGAAATTAGAAGTCAGCCCCAGTGGATATCTCCTGAGGGAAGAGAAGGGTCCATATCTTCTCCTGCAGCATCAGGAGCTGGTTGCATCCAGCTTAGAGTCAGGAACTAGCACTGAGGCAGCCTGGAAAATACAGTTTAACAGAGGGAATGATTGGACTGAAATGGACATCTCTCCCCAGGCCGTGAGAGCAGGCCGCCCCTGTACCTCAGAGGGGAAGGCCAAGGACCCTTGGTTGGACTCAGCTCTGATACGCTGAGCCTTGGCTACCTTTTTATCGACACCTTCTACGTCTATGAGGTGAGCAGCAGGGCTTGGGATGGATCCTGATGGCTCCTGAGGCAACAGCGAGCCTGGTGGAGCTGTGGAATTCCTGCCAACCTGGGCAGTTGTGAGCAGGGAATGTTTGATGTACTGGTCAAACCTGGGGGGTCAGAAAGGTGTGTCTGTTGTTCATGAAGCCCCAGCCCCTGCTTTTGGGCAGCCTTCCTTAGGGATCAGCTGGGAGGCTTCCTGCAAAACAGCCCCTTGGCACATGAAACCAGCACTGGGTCCAAAAGCTGCATGTTCAGAGGCTTTTGTGGCAGTGCCAAACACAAGGCACCTTTGGACTGGGCTCTTCAGAGGCAGCTGGAACAAACGGGCTGTGTTTGAGCTTCAGTCCACTGCCAACAGCTTCCAGTCAAGGGTCTCCTGCTTATTCCTGGAAGTCACAGGAAAGCCATCCAGCCTTCTGGCTCAGTGCTGGCCCTTGCAAAGGGCTTGGGAGTTCTTTCCCTTGCTCACCAGTCCCTCACCACACTTCAGCCTTGCTGCATCTCTGGCTCTAGAAAGGCAAAAGTGTTCCTGGGAATAAAGCAAAGGATTTTTCTACCTATTTGCCTCCCCCCCAATAGTGTCAAGTTTGCAAAAAAATCATGAGAGAGCAACTGAAAGAGGTAGAAAATGAGGCACTACATCATGGCAGACACTTTCAAAGGCTTGGCTGGGGAAGGGAAAGACACGCGGAGTTTTCTTACCAAAGGATGATGGTGTCTGTACACTTTGATGCTGATGTATTGTTTTCATGGTGTGGGAAAAGGTGAATGAGTAGATGGTGCTGTTGGAGCTGTGCTGGCTGGGGCAGCAGCAGCTCTGTGCTGATTCACTAGGCAGCTGCAATCACCACACTCAGGGCTCTCAGGGCCAGGTTTCAATGAGCTTGGTGATGCTGCCCAGAGGTGCACTGCTCTGTGTCCATGGGATAATCCCAGGGTGACTGCAGTTATGTGGAGTTACCACTGCTTTGCATGAAAACCCAAAGGCAGAACTTGTCCTCTTGTACCTTTTGAGTTCTGCCATTCAGCAGCACAAAGCATCTTCTGCCTTTTCTGGGTGTTAATTGCATCATTAAAAATAACTGACAAGAAGGGAAGATTCTACATGTATTTCCATTTTGCTTTCTTGCTGCTGCAGGTGAAACTGATTAACCAAGGAGCTCTTGATGCTCCCTTCACCTATATCCCTTCAACCACAAACGTGGACTTCTCCTTCAAGTTTGCACCTGAGGAGGGCATCATTGCACCAGGTGGGACCCAGACTATTCAGGTCTCCTTCAAAACCACCGTGTTGGGGTGGTTTGAGGAAGAATTCCAGTTCAGTGTGGCTGAATCTCCTACACCTGTGATCCTGACCATCAAGTAAGGACCCTGGGAGCTTGGTGGGCACATCTGTAGCTGTCTCTGGGATATCCCCCACCTACCTCATTTTGGGGTTGAGCAGAGAAAAAAGGTGTTTCCCGAGGTCTTAATCCTTGCTCTGATCCTGGCATTGCTTTAGTGTGGGGGTGCCTGCTGGCCTGTGTGGTACCCAGCAGCTGGAGTGACTCCTCCCTGCAGGGATCTCCCTCTGCCCTGGGCCATGGCAGGCAGTGGGATGGATCAGCTTTGGGCAGTAGCTGCTCTGGGATGTCCCACCTGAACATCCAGCAAAGCCTCCAGGGCTTTGGAGATGGGCCAGCCTGGGTGATTCTGCACCAGCAGCAGTGTTTGTAAAAAGTTCTGTTAATAATCCATGCCAGATGGGCAGCAGCAGCCTCACCTCACCTCTGCCATCCATGCTGTGGGGACAAGCTGTGCTCCCAACTCCTGTGCACAGAGTGCTCTGGTGCCTCCTTTGCACAGCCAGGCAAGGGCTGATGTGGGAGTCAGGGAACTGTGCAGCAGGAACTGTCCCAAGGACTTGGGCACCATCCCATGGGCTGGTGCCATGGCAAAGGATACAATCCTCAATCAGAAAAGGGTAGAGGTGGGAAAAAAAGAAGAAAAGCGATGATAGGAGAAGTAAAAGACTTCAGCTCCAAGGCCTGTCCCAGCTAATCTGTCAGCTGCTGACCATTTTGCTTTGGCTGCCTCCTGTCCACATGGGTTCTGTGCTGAGCACAGGGTGCTGGGTTGATTTGAAACCCAGGGTGGCTCTGGCAGCAGCTTTTATCCACCCTCTCCCTAAGGACCCCTGAACCCTTTGTGATTCCCTTTAACAAAGGCACTGCCTCCCTGCCTTTGTCCTCGCAGGGGCTACGTGATGGGCCCGACTTTCCATTTCGATGTGTCCGCCCTCGACTTCGGTGACGTCTCCTTTGGTGAGTGTGCCCTGGGCTGGCACCACAGCCTCAGAGGTTGGAGTGCTGCTGAAATGGAGCACTTGAACCTAAGAGCATTCATCACCTGTGTTCCTCCACCACAGCCTCTTCAGGGTGTTAATTCCAGGGCTGCTGGTGCCTCAGGTACCCTTTTGCCATCATGAGATCAAACAGGAGCAAAG